TTCATCGTTTGTTAGTGGTGTCTAAATAATTTTAGAAAGTACATATAACTCGGAAAAAGTCACATTAGTACTTGCCGTTGGTAGGCTTCGAGCCCGCACCCTCATGCATAAGAAGCGGATGTCTTAAACCTCCGGGCCACAACGACCAAATATCCACAATTTATCACCAAATAAGGCAGTCCGAAATAAAATGCCCAATATTGAAAAGCCTCATTAGAAACTTCCACAGAATTAAAACTCAAAACCGTCAAAAAATGGCGCCGGCGTGCAATCAAATAATTTAAAGTTAATTCAACTGAGAATTATAATATCTGAAGAGGAAATTGAAGAAGTTTTGCAAAGAAGTAGCCAGTTCGTTCCCTAATTTCTTTATGGGACCTCTGTTGCGGGCTCAGAACATTTTACCGTTCAAAGAAATGTAACAGTCGCTATTAAAGTAATTTGGTTTGTTACTTCGCCTTTGACTTCTTGACCGCTGTTTTATTGAGGGTTTTTTTATTCATTTATGTTGGCTTTTATTGGTCTTGTTTATCATTAGACAGATTATTTATTTGGACTGCCTCGTTGGCCAAATGGTCGCAATTGCGACTGCCGGGTAAGGGGTCTCGGGTTCGATTCCCGGGTCGGGCAAAGTATTACTGGGTTTTAAAAAAAATCTCAGTAGTAGCACGGAGTCTGGAACTGTGCCCAGTATATGGCAATAGGCTCACCCCCTATTACATGGGACTCATAACATAAATAGTGAAAAGTGGGTGTTACATTGTACAGTGGTATAATGTGAACGTCTGCCTACCGCTTCGAGGATAAAAGGCGTGATGTTATGTATGTATATGTAGATTATTTATTTGCTAATCTGGTGGTAACAAGATTTTTAATTAAGCTTTTGAGACGATACGCTTTCGATACGTATTTGTAAAGGATAATACCTTTTTATAATCTTTGTATTTGTGTGCCTTTTTTGAGGGCGGAAAATCATCGAATGACTTCTCCCGTCCGGGTGAGGTGAGAGGGAATAGCAGACTCTTACTGGCTAAAAACCACCCCATTCCTACTCATTCAACCCGTTAAGTCCTCCGCGGCTCCGTATCGGCTTTAGCCCCATCTGTGGTGAGTATTTATTTCTTTTTTTCTCGTCATCTATGTTCTGATCCGCACTCTTACTGCGATTCCCAGACTAAATTAAAAAATATGATTCCTTAAAAATAAATATTAGTACAATTAAAATACTTATTCCACCGACCTACACTATAAAATAAAATGGTTATTCTTTAACGAGAGAAAAATAAAACAAAAATACGATTCCGACCAACTTTTACTTTATTAAACCACATACAAAATAAAATATGAACAATATGACATTCACTTTGCTTTCACTACTGAGAGACGTGCTGTGTGAATGTTTGTTCATCAACTTGGATAGAGACTTGCCCGTGGGTCGTGGATCACCTCCTGGACAGTTTTCATACATCATGTTGATATCACAATTCTGGAAGAAAGAATACATTCAAAAGTCAAAAGCATTTATTTCAATTAAACCATAGTTTGGTACTTTTGAAACGTCAACAAATACAAAATAAATAATAGTCTCTCAGTCAGTCCGTCAGTGAAACTAGGTGAAGCTAGGTGCTCATTCCAAAAGTAGATTCGAATGGAGAAGAACGAGCAAGAAACTCCATTCGTTACTCTTTTTAAAAAAAGTATGTTCTACAATGTCTCTGATACATATTTCAATACTGTACGCATATGTAAGAACAATGCAAAGACATGCTTGACGAATTATACTAATAACTTACTAAAATTAAAAAAAATATATAAAAATCTTGAAGTCCAACATTCTCTTTAAGTTCCATAAATAATTAAGTCTCAACAACATACCTACCATATTAAAGTTTAGATTCCAATGGGGAGAACCATGCTTAGATACGAATGGGCCAGCTCAACCGAGGTTGGCCATGGTTATAATAGAATCCAGCGCAAAATTACGCTTGCGTTGTGTTTCGCCATGTAAGTGAGGTTACTGGAGACCCAATTCTACCTTTGCTAATTTATATACTTCATTAAAAAAAATTGACAGATATAGCACGGAGTCAGGAATTGTGCCCAGTATCCAATACGCTCACCTCCTATTGGACTCATAACGTAAATAGTGAAAAGTAAGTGTTACATTTTACAGTGGAATAATGTGCACCTCTGCCTACCCTTTCGGGGATAAAGACCGGCAAATCACTTGTGACTCTTCTAGATTACTCTCTATCAGAGGTCTGAATCTGCTACGAAAGAGGGACGGAGTTATTAGGTTGAATAGCACCGTCCCTCTTGCACTGCTCAATGATCAACCATACTGGCACAATTGTAAGGGCCGAAACACATAATCGCATTGCGTCGCCGCAACTGGACTCGTGAAAAAGAGCGTTTTGTTGTCGTTCGGTAGGGTAACCAGTTCGTCGTGATTTTTTATTGTGGATAGACGTGTCTCTGCCATGGACCATCGTGAAAAACTTATTGCTTATTTGTTATTAAGAAGACATTACTCCGCTATGCTGGAACGAGCGCTGCGTTGCGGCGCCGCACCGCTTAAATCGGCAGTGACGCTACTGTCGATTTTAGCGGCGCGGCGCCACAACGCCATTATGTGTTTTGGCCCTAATGCAGACTTGGGCCCCAGGTGATCTATTTGCTCGTTAACAGTCCTCTATAAAAACTGTACGTCAAAATCTATAGTCCCCAAAACTACAAACAGCACATTTTATTGAAACAGACAAACTGTCCATCATATTCACAACTACCAAAACAAAATACTCAAAACTTTGAATAGACCAGAAGCAGAATCGTATAAAAACTTTTATTTTTCAGACGCAGAGAGAGAGAGACAAAGCAAAAATAGCAGGAATTCTTCAAATAGCCTCGTTGTCTGTTTCACAACGAAATTGTACTGTATTCGAAATTTGCGAGGAATTACACTGGAATGCTGACAAGCCGAGGGACGGGCGGTTGTGGAACAAATGAGAACGTGCGTCCGGTACGGCGGGACCACAGGGCTGATATTAAAATTTTATTAGTATGCTATATTTTTTATACATAAATAAATTATTTTATTTAATTTAATATACATTTTGACTGCACGGTTGGTACGGTGGCTGGGCAACCGGCTGCCGCGCAACGTGTCGCGGGTTCGATTCCCGCACGGAACAACTCTTTGTGTGATCCACAAATTGTTGTTCCGAGTCTGGGTGTCATGTGTATGTGAACTTGTATGTTTGTAAACGCTCCCACGACACAGGAGAAAATCCAAATGTGGGGCAACGTTTAAAAAAAAAAGATTAAACTGAAATTTTTGATCCATAAGAATCAAAGAATCTACGTTTATATCATTTTTGTTTTAGCTACCATTACATTTATAAAGAAATAGAAACCCTACACCGGGTACAAATGGGTACTTTTATTAATCAAAAATAAATTATTTCGACTGTTCAATACAATAAAGTATTAAAAAATAATCACACTTTCATTAATTGATTTTATAACCAACTTTATTTTAGTATTTTACAAACAAGTATGCTGTTTGTCGCAAAAACGTGACGTCACAACACACAATCTCGTACAAAATTCATAGAAAACTCTCGTTTTTGACAGTTCGAAAAGAGTATTGAATTTGACTAGTTGACAATTACCCAATTTCAGCCTTCAAAAGAAAAAAAAGTAAATAAAATATGGACATATTCTGATGTAATAATGTACCCGTAGGCTACCTTATAGGGCTGCTACGCATATAACAAAAGCATGGGTCCATGTATGTTTAGCAAAGAACGCTGCAATTTTGAATGCAAATGAACTTGCATTGTTAACTGGGAGCGAACACATACTGTATTTTGGCACTTCATAATTAATTTCTATGAATTTTTGCGTTCATAGGAACGTTAAACGTGAAAACATAAATAAGTTTAAAATGCTACCTTGTTAACTTAAACTTAGAAAGGGTAAAAAACTATACTCGGAATTTTAATTCGATTCCAGATTTGACAATTTCAGTGTTGCAACGTTATGACAAGTACTAAATAGTAATGTTGCAAAATTATTCGATATGGAAATGGAATATATCTGGATCGATTCTTCTCGTTTATAATTTTTTACTCTCGTAAACTAATTTAATTTCCTGATGTATATCTGAACCGATATTTCTGAACCGATAATTTAGTTTTGACGATTAATTAACGATCTAAAACTTTTCATTTAAAATTCCCAATGATATGATATTCCAAATTTTCCACAGTCTAAATTGGCATACACTACCGGACAATGGACTTAATGTAATGTCCTAAAACTGAAATCAGCAGAATATAAAAAACCACCTCTCACTCTCTCTAGTCGTTCCCTTATGTCTAAGGATCATGGTCAGCATCAGGATTGCATCTGGATGATCTACTTCCAGCGGTTTCTGTCCAGTGCGTCTCTTACTGCTATGTGAAATTTTGAGGACGAGTCTTTTACTTGATAACTTAACATAACATCACGCCTTTTATTCCCGAAGGGGTGAGCAAAGGTGCACATCACGGCACTGTACAATGTAACACCCACTTTTCACTATTTATGTTATGAGTACCATGTAATAGGGAGTGAACCTTTTGCCATATACCGGGCACAATTTCTGACTCCGTGCTAGTACTGAGATTTTTTTGTAAATCACAGTAATACATACTTTGCCCGAACGGGAATCGAACCCAAGACCCCTTGCCTTGGCAGTCGCACTTGCGACCACTCGAACAAGTCTTTTATTTGATCGGTCCATAAAAACCATAACTTGGTAAAAATAAAGTCCAAAATTCAATCTCACCTTCATTGATTGAATTCATACTGTTATTGTGGGCAATATTAAAATAATAACGACACAATCAAAGTTCAGCGTCGAAACAAAATAAAATATGAATTATAAATAGCTCTCATATTTCAGAATACCTATTTTATAATAAAATGGCGAATGGAATATTATAGCGTGCTATAAACTATAACGGTTCAACGAACTTTTGTCTGTACGACTGAAAAAGAGGAAAATAACGATAATTTTTCACAAACGCAATACGAAATTTTATATGAATTGTAGACTACTTTCCAATGTATACAATACACCAATTATAAAACTATAATAGATTTATGGCTTGTTACATAGAAATAAGACTAAATAGGTAACCGCAATCCAATGTCATACGTAACACACATAGCATCACGCCTTTTATCCCCGAAGAGGTAGGCAGAGGTGCCCATTACGGCACTTAATACCACTGTAGGTACAAATTTAACACCCAATTTTCACTATTTGTGTTATGAGTCACATTTAATAGGGGCTGAGCCTATTGCCATGTTGTCCAATGTTATCCAAAGTTATGAGATTATGATAATTCCTGATTATAAAATAATCTAAATCGACCGTAAAACCTCCATAACACAGTCAATGAAGCAGAATTATTCAATAAATAATCTTCAAATCGCATCTATTGTTTTTAATTACTTTAAATAAATATTATTCTGAATAATTAATCGCATACCGGGTCCACTAATCCCTTTTCGATTTTATGACGACTTAATTATTTACCATTCATACGTATTACATTGATTTTTATGGCATAATCCGGTAAACAAGCATACTTATCACCTGATGGTAAGCAATCGGCGTCACCCATGGACACCTGGAACACCAGTGGCGTTACAAGTATGTTACCGGCCTTTTGGGGTTAGGAGTTTGAGGATCGTTGGGGATTCAGGGATTGGGGAGATTGGGGAAGGGGAGGGTAATTGGGCCTCCGGTCACACGACGAAATACAATTAATAAAAAAGCAGCATAAAATCGCATACCTGAAACACATCACCTTCTGAGACTATCGCTGAAAACTGCTGTAAAGTGACCGCCTGTTCATACGGACAAGTTTTGGGCATGTCAAAAAGTGCATCCGCAGTGCACCTCCTGAATTTGGCTCGGGCACTGAAACAAAAAATTCGAACTGAAACACATGCATACGTCAATAGCTTCAGAATTTTTTGTTGGAATATACATTGCGTGGAGCTAGCGATGCGAGCTTGCGAATTTGAGTGGTCACTGAAATGGCTGAATGGTTTTTTGTTTTAAAAGGATTAGAGATTGATAAATTGTGAATTGTGATGAACCGAAAAGGTTGGTACAATTGTTTAATAAAAATCATAACTTAGCTGTTTGAAGTATATCAAAATTACTAAGTACAACACAGCTGTCACCTAAACAAAGGTACCAGGACTTAATCAACAGCAAGGAGGTTTGTAATTGTAGTCGACATCGATAGCTAGGCAGTGTGTCCCCTCGATGCATCCTACGTCAGTTACGAGATTGGTAGACAGTATTTTGGTAATTTTTTATTTTTATTTTATACATTCTAGATGATGACGTTGTGTAGCCACATAGATGTTTTTCGTAAAAAGTGCACAACAAGTGTCATAGTTGTTAGAGAAGATTTCAGAATCAAACATAAAAAAAAAATGAATGTGAGATAACTGTGTCTAAAATAATGTTATCATTGTATACCTGATAAAAAGTAAGTAGTAAATAAAATAAAATAATTAAAAAACATAAAAATAGGTCAAGGGCGTTTCTTTTTTGGTTTTTCGGTTTAATAGTTTCATGGGCGTCATTTTGAAATAAACACTAAAACTTATATATTTTTATAACTGTTCATTTCCACCTATCCCTATTTTTGTCAAATATGTTGGAAAAGATCTGTTCTACAATCCCATACGAGATTATAGTTTAATTACAAATCGCCCTGTATAATTATGATAAAGGTAGTGCCATTAGAAGTGCCATTTCTAGTTCTTTTCTTCGCACGAGCACAGAAGGTGGGGGTGGTAGAGTTTGTTAAATTCTGAACTCGCCACCGAGCAATAATATTATTATAGCAAGACCCTCAAATGTAGAAGAAGCGTCATAATCTAGTTGTAGATAGCCAAGAACTGTTGCCTTGTTGATATTGTACAAAATATTATGATGTACAAACCAACACATATGGAAATGCGTTTCGAAATGTGTCCATTCATGTGTGGTATTCTTTTGTTCGTCCACTGTGGATTTGAAGAAGGCATAACACTTCTCCCACGCATCAGCGGATCCCTCAATACAATTTGGCAATTCGTCGTACCCTGAAATCATAATGCAGTATTTTTTTTTTAAAAAAAAAGACGTTGCCCCACATTAGGATTTTCTCCTGTGTCGTTTATAAACATACAAATTCACATACACATGACATCCAGACCCGGAACAACAATCTGTGGATCACACAAAGTATTGTTCCGTGCGGGAATCAAACCCGTGACACGGCAGCCGGTTGCCCAGCCACCGCACCAACCGTGCAGTCATTTTTGGAACGTATGCTTTATTAATATGCGTATGTAGTAGCCGAGTGGTCGCAAGTGTGACTGCCGGGCAAGGTGTCTTTGGTTCGGCATCGAGCAAAAGAATTACTGGGATTTTTAAAAATTCGCAGTAGTAGCACGGAGTCTGGAATTGTGTCCGGTATATGGCAATAGGTGAGCAATTATTATTACTTTTGACTGCCTCGTTGGCCGAGTGGTCGCAAATGCGATTGCCGGCCAAAGGGTCTCGGGTTCGATTCCCGAGTCGGGTAAAGTAATACTGGGTTTTACAAAAAAATCTCAGTAGTAGCACGGAGCCTGGAATTGTGACCGGTATATGGCAATAGGCTCACCCCTTATTACATGGGACTCATAACATAAATAGTGAAAAGTGGGTGTTACATTGTACAAGGACATTAAGTGACGTAATTTGCACCTCTGCCTACCCCTTCGGGGGTAAAAAGGCGTGATGTTATGTTATGCTTAGTTATGAAATGCAGAAATAAAAAGGCAAAGAAGATAAATTTTCATTAGACTCAAAATGCGACGGCCAAGCTAGGGAATTCAGATCCGAGTCTCATTCGATTCACACTATTTCCACACGCAAAAATCAACTCTAAGAGATCTTGCATTTCATAGAAACAAAACTACTTACTGGATAGAAATTGTTCATCGTTACATATATTGTTAACCACGTGCATATGCCCCCGAATACTCTCTTCGTTGAAGTGGCTTTCTGTCACGTCCTTACAATCTGAATTCCAATCTATCGCACAATTTGTGAGGTGACGTATCGCTCTGTAATAACGTTTTATTAGAAATATATCATTTAATTTTGTCACCATTCTTACTGTTTTCGAATATTTTTTTATTAATAAATCTGTGCCCCACACTAGGATTTTCTTCTGTGTCGTGGGTGCGTTTACAAACATACAAGTTCACATATACAATGACACCCAGACCCGACACAACAATTTGTGGATCACACAAAGTTTTGTTCCGTGCGGGAATCAAACCCGCGACACGTTACACGGCAGCCGGTTGCCCAGTCACCGCATCAACCGTGCAGTCAATCATAGTCAAATATCAAAGAGATAACCGATTAAGGCTCTAAACAGACGAACAGCATTTCAACTACAATCCAACTGCAAATTGCATCCTTTTAAAATTCAATGTTCAGTCCAGCCCGCCTAGCAAGCCTTAAGATTATAATATACCATTTTACGAAGGGAAGCCCTATAGTGCAGCTAGCAGTGGTTCATAACGGGCTGTTCATAGGACCCAAAATTTTTTTAAGCAATCACATGGTTCACAAGAACGTTACCAGCCTTTAGAGGACTAGAAATTTAAGGATTGTTGGGGATTCAAGGATTAAGGAGGGGTGAAGGGGTAATTGGGCCTCTGGTAACCTCACTCACACGATGAAACACAACGCAAGCATTATTTCATGTTGGTATCTGTGAGTCCGATCAAGCCGGCCCATTCGATTGAAAGCATGATTATCCCACACTTAAATAAGGATAACACATAATACAATATTTACTTGCACCAATCATAAACTTGTCCGGGCATCGGAGGGGACTTTTTAACTGAATTGTAACTCATTGCAGCCTCCGTCGTACAGTTATGTGCATACTCTGCGAAGTTATCACAATTTATATTCTTCATTGAAATCAATTTCTCTTTATCTTTCGTCAAGGTCATTACTGGTTCAAATTCTATGTCGTCGGCCGATGGTGCACCACGCGCTTTTGGTTGATGATCATAGTCGTCAAAATCTAGAAAATAAACGCATGAAATGTTATTTAAATGCCCTAATAAAATTTCTTACTAAACGTTTATCAGCTCTTTCGAACGACTATAGTGGTAGGTCGATTTTCTTGTGTCGGAAATGTCGATTAAAAAATAAGAGGGACAATTGTAAATTCACGCCTTTCATCCACTAGACTGATATTACAAAATCTTATACAAGTATTATCGGAAACAAATATGGTGCTCCAGTACACCAGGGGCTTTTAAACATCATCATCATAAGCCTGTAAATGTCCCACTGCCGGTCAAAGGCTCTCAAATAGACAACGTCTTTGACATGTATGTATACCCAGAAAGACAAATACAACATGTTGGTCTTGTACATTTGTACCTAACCTCTCTTCATTTGTATTTGTTTACTTCTCATGAAATAATAACAATAAGAAAATACAGAGTGCACCTGTGTTTGCACGCAAACGTGTACACGATTTTTTAACTTATTCATTCCTTGTTATGGACTATTTTAGTTTAAGAGGGCTATTGTAATGGTGATTGGTTGATTTATACTTACAGACGGCGTGCAAACAATCAAAAAGAATTGTAACCAAATATAGAATTAGCATTTCTCATATAAGAGGCTGTTTTTTATATCATTTCTTTTAATTTTACATCGCTTTTCCCAATTTATAAGTGAACACATCTGTTTTATTAGACGTAAAGACAGAATAAGTATACACGTCAACGGTGACATGACATTCAGTAGCTGATAGATTGTTCTTTTTGGTTTTGTGCACCAAACTTCTTGAAGGGAGATTTTTTTGTCGATGATTTTCGTATCCTACCGTCTTGGGCACTTGACTCAGCGCCGACTTGAAAATGATTAAATATCAGCAGCAAGTAGCTATTTTCTCTGTAAAAAAACGTATAACAGAAAGCGAAAGAGGTATGTAGGAATTGTAGCATTTGGTGTTCCATAGTCTCTGCCTACCCCCATGGAAGACAGTCGTGAGGTTATGTATGTATGTAAACATATAATAGATATTAATTCCGTGTTAATAAAAGAGATGCATACTCGCAAGAACAAGTATTAAACTCATACGCTGGTCACCAATTCGTTTCCAATTCTAGCTCGTTACTCGTTCATCGTAGCCGGTGAGACAATTGCTTTGCGGTCTGTCTTATATGTACAATGATAAGAAATATATCATATTAGTCTTCTAAGGCACTCATAATGGTGTCATCACTGCGAGGACCGCCCTGAGGACACAGTGGAACACACTGTAGCGGAATGCCCTGCGTGGGCTGAGCACCACCGTGCCCTCAGGGAAGAGATCGGCGATGGCGACCTCTCGCGTCCGGGCCTAGTGCAGGGCATGATGCGGAGCGAGGGGGACTGGGATGCCGTCTCCTCCTTTTGCGAAGCAGTTATGCTAGCTAAGGAGTAGGCGGGCCGCGTGAGGCAGAGAAGCGCTGCCTCCTCGCAACCCAGCCATTGCGAAGGACACACCGGGCGTCAGGGATCGCGGGACGATCTCCGGCCACCGTAAGCGCGGGCCTGTGAACGGCGACCATGGGTGGCTCCCCGTCCGACCAGAAACAGACCCGAGCGTACGGCGCGTCGCGTTCCGCGCGCGCCTCAAAGAGCCACCATAGATGGGGCTCAACAGGGCCGATGCCGATTCGAAGTCGTGGAGAACGTAACGGGTAACCGGGGCTCCGCCTTGACGTGCAGGAGAAGGAACGGGGTGGTTTTTATTGAGTAAGAGTCTGACACTCCCTCCCGCCTCACCCAGGCGGAACAGTCATTCGATGAATTTCCCCCCTAAAAAAAATAGACCTCTATTCTATATCGCTATGTACAGCTCTATATCCTATCATAAGACTAGTTCTGCAAGCAACCTTAGCAGCTACGCCTCAAATAATTACAAATGCTAATCTCATAAGTAATTCCTAAATCCCTCTAAACACATGAATATGTATACAGGATTATAAATATACAAATACATTATAGGTGTATAAAACCAGTTATCCTGGTCTCGGTTGGAATGATCTTTCTGCGTATTTGAAGGTCAGTTTATACTGGTTGATCATATACCTTTATGTTGGGATAAATCTCAATTCACGCTAATTGATAATAGTACAGTATCAAATGTTATTAGATTAAGATGTTTCGATACTGTTTACTGTGAATCGATTTAAACTGATCTGCGGTTGTTGTGTACTTACGTGTCTAAAATAAGGTTGCTAAATTATAAAATTAATGTATAATTAGTATTGTAATAAGATTTTTTAGAATTAAGCCAAAATAATAACATCATCATCACGCCTTTTATCCCCGAAGGGGTATGCTGAGGTGCACATTACGGCACTTAATGCCACTGTACAATGTAACACCCAGTTTTCACTATTTATGTTATGAGTCCCATGTAATAGGGGGTGAGTCCATTGACAATATACCGGGCACTCCAGACTTACTACTACTGAGATTTTTTTAGACCAGTAATACTTTGCCCGTCCCGATATCGTACCCGAGACCCCTTGTCCGGCAGTCGCATTTGCGACCACTCGGCCAACAAGGAAGTCAAAAGTAATAATAATTAATCGTACTTCGTACTTAATCCATTTTCGTATCATGTGATTGAATAAAAGACTTTTAGATAAATGATTTATTTAAGTTATAGTCATAATCCCTTACAATATTACTAGCACTAATTTTTTTTATGGAATTGGAGACAAACGAGCAGACAAATCACCTGATGGTAAGCGATCAGCGTCGGTCATGGACACCCCCGTAACAATATTAAATTGAAACATCATTATGTAATCTTCATAAGAGAAAGTATTTGATATTAACCCTCTGAGTACCGTCATTATAGACACAATTAAAGAACAATATTTGCGGTCACCGGTTTTGGTTGCGGTCACCGGTGTCCTCGCGGTGTTTGACAGTTTAACGTAAAGAAAAGAAATGAATTACTGTTTTCCTTTTACCTAGCCAAAAAGATTACCCATGATATTACTGTCTATTCGAGGTTATAAAACGACCAAAATATTATTATACTAACGAAATTATAATGGCGTTTCATTGGCTTTTCGAATACAATTTCTAATCTTCTTATACGCCTTATACATACCATAGGAAAAACATATAGACACTTTTATAAATATAAATATTGCTAGAACATTAAGCATTACATAGAAACTTTCATTTGGTCCTTCTTGTGTCGGTCCTTCTTGCGATGGTCCTTCTTGCGCTGGTCCTTCTTCCACTGATGTTCCTGACTCTTCATAATTTGGCAGGTTGACTATATCTTGCGTTGAATTGTCCATATTTATGTACATTTTTTGGTAAATAAAGTTCCTTAGCTTTTCCAAATGAAAAATTCGACAGTTTCAACTTCAAAGAGAGAGAAAAATTTTGCAAGTCATTCCTCGAGCGATACTTCTGATTTTGAATACTACTGGATATTTCTGGTCATCCAAAGGCCACGATGATTGTCATTTATAACAGTCTTATGTTGATTCTATGGTGCTGCATTTTTTGTTCATTGCTTGCATAGTATATAGCCCATTATTCTTGATAATTATAACGAATTCCGTGATTGTGATGTTCTTTTCCTCTTTTCGTTCAATGGATTTTCTAATAAGTAATTGCTACATAAAGTCCGTAAAATTCCTTGTGTACAACACATAAATAGTGTAATTTTTGAGTGATAAACACTGTTCCAATTTATCTCCGAAACTGTATCAAAAACGCTAATGCGATACCAAAACAAAATCTCTGAATAACACAGCTTTATTCACTTTCTATGAACTTCAAAGTAACTGTTAATAAAATTAGAATATACTTGAATAAATTCCTTTGATTCACAGTCTGTAGGAAACACAACCAAAATGATGAAGGAAACTGATGCTTCCTTTATAGGACTTGTATTAGTACCTACATTAGTAATATAAAGGTGGTTATATATAATAGAGAATAACATGTTATGAGTACTGCCTCGTTGGCCGAGTGGTTGCAAATGCGGCTGCGGGCAAGGGGTCTCGGGTTGGATTCCGGGTCGGGAAAAGTATATCTCTGTTTTAAAAAAAATCTCAGTAGCACCGGTATATGGCAATAGGCTCACCCACTTTACGGGACTCATAACATAAATAGTGAAAGTGGGTGTTACTTTTGTGATGTTATGTTAATGGGCGTGATTGTATGTTATGTTATGAATAGTTAACGATGTTATGAAACGATTATGATCTAAAATAATTTGTATAGCAAAAGTTATAAAACATTATAAGTAATGTCTTCTCGGTCGACATTGTGAAAAGCACTGCAGAATGACCAACGAAATTATTATAGCAACATAGCGATGTTATATGACATTGTTATTTTACCTATTGTTATAAAAGTATGTTAAAAATTTGGTCTCCCGGAGGTTTAGACAACCGCTTCTGATGCATAAGGATTCGAAACCTACCAACGGCAAGTACTAATGTGACTTTTTCCGAGTTACATTTTTCGGCCGCTAGTGTGACCGCCTTAACATAACACTTTTGAGGCAGATAAGATAATGTATGTTAGCATGGTTTAGCTCTTTGGCAATGACATGTGAGCTTTCCCATTGGAATTTTATCAATAACAGAAGTCATACATAACATTATGACTTTTGCTTTCGAAGAGTAAGTACCTTCTCGTAGAGACGCTGTTTGCTTATTACATCTAGACTCAAACTACGACTGAAAGTTTAAAAACATTTGATCACTCTACATTTACTCCATTATAGACCTTATTTCTGATGTTTAGAGACTACTTTTGTATGAACAACATCACACCTTTTATCCCCGAAGGGGTAGGCAGAGGTGCACATTATACCACTGTACAATGTAACACCCACTTTTCACTATTTATGTTACGATATATTTACGAGTTAATACTATGTATACACATAACATGGTTTTTTTTAACAAAACGTTGCCCCATATTAGCATTTTCTCCTGTGTCGTGGGTGCGTTTACAAACATACTAGTTCACATACACAATGACACTCAGACTCGAAACAACAATTTGTGGATCACACAAAGTGTTGTTCTGTGCGGAAATCGGACCAGCGACACGTTACACGGCAGCCGGTTGCCCAGCCACCGCACCAACCAATTTTGGAGATTTAGGTAAAATATCTCAACTGATTAAACACTCAACCTCCTTCCTACCCACAGATCATAATATAAAGGTTCCTACCAATAATAGTAAACAATAATGTTTGTGGGAACTATAAAGCTATTACACACTGCCATTTAATTGTGGTATCATCACTTATAGAGAACATGGGAACACCATTAACGTTAACAGACAATCCTCTTTTGTACTCTAGCCCTTATTTTGGTACTTGAAGAAGTTTTAGTAAATGTGTTAAAATTATTGTTACATATGAAATTAGACTCAATTGTTTAAGAGTTTTTGTTGATTTTACATTGACAGTTTTTGTGTGACTTGACACTATTTTCTTTTGAATCGATTTTAAATAACAATTTAGTTTTATTCTGTTTTAGTTGCTTTATCTTATGAATAATGTTTATTAATGTTTCAGTTGCTTTATCTCATTTATTCATTTATCATTAAACAACACTTACCAACATTATAAGTTTAACCTAATTTGATAGAGAAGTTACTTACATTAACCAAAATAATGCTTTTAAATATCTTTTTTTAATGGAGACGTATCTGGATGTGATGCTATTATTAAAAAATATAAAATTTAAAATGGCAAATAATCAATCGTTAGACTAGGTCATAACCAATCGTAACTATAAAATAAGTGTGTTATCTAAAAAGAAAACAAAATATACAAAGTCTACGTTAGATACATATTTATGTTCCAACACCAAACAGGATGGAATAGAAGAATAATTATTTATTTGCTCAGAATGCAGGTATTTACAATAAGGTGACTGTAAAACTAATAAGATATCCTTGTACATTCTATCATTTTTGGCATGCAAACATTGATACAGGTTCATCATCAGACATATTCTGACACAGTTACAATTTATCAGCTTAATAATCAGACACACAGTAATAGCATTTGTTTAACAAGAGTGTTGTAAAGTTTCTTTTTAAAAATTGTCATTGATTCTTTTTTTATTGAATTAGGAATGTGGTTAAACGCATAGTTGCTTTTTAATCAACCAACAGACTGTGATGATTAAAAAAGAAGCCAAAATGGACGCACACTTTGAAGGACCCAATTCATATCAAGAACACATTTTACTAAAATAAAATATAAATTTTATCTACAGGTCGAAAAATTAAAAATATTTTCTTTGTATTCAAATTAAAGAACCACAATATGGTATCAAAGGATTGTCTTTAATCGAAAACATACTCTATTTACAAATACGATAAATATAAATTACGATACATTTTCCAAAGAACAACAAAACGACCAAATTCACGCATCAAAAGGACAGTTGTAATCAAAACACAATTTTATTCACTTGTATATAAAGTGTAATATGTATTAACCATTTACTTTGATAAACTTCATGTGTATTTACATAAACACTGGTGAATTAATTAAGGCGAAAATGTAATTAAAATTTGCATCGTTTCATTTCTATTTATGTAGTTTTCCATTCCAATACATATTTGTTGTCACATGATTATAATTATTCATTATTATTTGTATTCTATATGTACGAAAACTGTATTCAAATAAATATCAGTACATGTTTAATATGTACTTATTTAAATTACTTAAAATCACAGGTTACTCACGTCAATAATTATACCTACTGAGAAAAGCTCTACTAGTTTTGAACCACAGAGGGGTTCTTCCTCATTCCTCCTACCCGCGATTTTAGTTAATTTAGTTTGTCTCACGATAGTTATTATAAAAACATGTATGTACTTATTTATAAATAGCTGTGCCTGCGACTTCGTTCGCGTGGAATAGTGATTTACTGCGCTTACCCCATAGGTGATCGCGTGGTAATACGTCTATATGTTGACACGACCTGTTAGTAATAACCATACAAAATTTGAAGTAAATCCATGCAGTACTTTTTGAGATCATCCCAGACATACATACAGACAAACAGACAAAATCTTCAAAAACCATATTTTTGGTTTCAGTATCGACTGTAGATCACGCCCCAACTATTCTTCTACACCAGAGGTGTTACAAGTGCGTTGCCGGCATTTTGGGGAAAAGAATTTGAGGATTATTGAGGTTTTAGGGATTGGGGAAACTGCATATAATTGAGCCTCCGGTAACGTACCACGTCGGTTTTCTGTAAATTCGTGGTATCATTCCGGTCGAGCCGGCCCATTCGTGCCGAAGTATTGCTCTCCCACACATAAATACTAATTAGTATTATTTATTTATTTCAATTAAATAGTATAACATCATAAAACCAAGGAGTATAATAATTATAAAAAGAAAAAAAAACAAAACAAAACAGAAAAGTCCTTAAATAAAACAAACAATAAGAATAAGAAAACCTTACAAACTATGACAGGTTTTAATTATGATACAGCATATCGCTATTGTAACCTTCTGCCTAATCCATGATACAACAGACCAAGAATATCCTTACTAATATTATAAATCAGAAAGTGGGATTGTTTGTTTGTTCCACTGTCGCGCCGTAACTACTAAACCGATTGCTTTGAATTTTTGCAGACGTGAAGTTAGAAGTTTGGATTAAATAATAGGGTACTTTTTATTCCGGAAAAATTTGATATTCTCGAGGGAAAACGAAATTATTGGTATAGATGGCGCTGTGTGTATTGGTATATGTCACATAGGCTACTTTTTATCCTTTTGTGATGCGAGTAAAGCCGCGGGTAAAAGGTAGTCAGTACATATATCAAAAACATACATTGTAAACGGAACCTCATATTTCACTTGTACCACAGTCCATGTCAAGATGCAGTCTGTCAATTCACTTCAGCCAGTGATCCAGAGATTTGATTAGCGGAGCCGTGTTCGTGGCTATGACGTGACATTTATGTATTCCGATTTTGAACGCAGTTGGCAGTTTGCTTTTCGTCGTTTTGCTGTCATTATGTAGTGCTAGCTTGTGATTCGGTTTTGGATGGAAGTGTAGATGATTTTCGTAAATTATTTAATGTGTATGGATGAATCTTTTTAAATAGAATAGATAAGGTGGTTTTAACCTATTGGACAATGGATACAAATAAATTTCATAATTATGGTTTTTAAAATGACCTTGGTGTGTAGCACAAAGAATAGGGTAGATGCCTAATTTTTATTTTAATGCCATCTGGTAGATTATTTTAAATCATTAGACACGTATTTTTATTTTCATACAGAAAC